AATCATCAGTAACCCATTTGCACTTGAAACAAAATGAACCCTGTTGCCCAAATGTGACCCAGATAATGTTTCTGACGTGTTTACCTATTTGGATGGTATCCTTCAATTTCAATTCCATCTATTCACAGAGATCCAGGATTCATGCAGAGCCTGAAGAATGTACAGAAAATTGAATTCCAGAGAATAATATGATGATAATAGTAAAAAAGCCCTGACTGCTGCACAGTAGTTTTACTTGAATGGCAGTAGCTAGGCAGAGCAATGTCTGCTATTGACTTGCAGCTCACATGTTTTTGCTACTTGGTTCATTGCTGCTGCTTTTTCTGTGTAAAAGAGGGGATTCATGACTGCTGCATCTGCAAATGAGCTGCAGAAGCTGCAGTTAATTGGGATATAGGATAGTCTGTTGATGCCTCTGCAAAAACAAGAGCAACAAAAATGATGGCAACAGCAGAGTGGATTTGGTTGGTCGTTGCATTTTGCCATTCAGTTCTCAGTCCTAAAAGTGCTCTAAAATCCTCAGCAATTTCTGCAGCAACTTGCAACACGATGAGCTCAAACCACCAGTGCGTGGCCAGGCGGTGACTCCTGCTCCCAGGCAGTGTGGGAGGTGGCAGAATGGACTTATTTTTAAGACAAGAATTTAGTCAATACCCTGCAAAACGCTGCTAAGTGCTCTTCAAAGGGCTGAAATCTCGGAACCCTCTGAAAACATGGCATGCAAATCCACAATCTTAGAAGGCAACTTCCACTGGGGATGTGCCAGCTTAGCCCTCTGCAAACCTCACTGGCAGCCCGGGAGACCCAAATGTGCTGATAATGCATTGCCTCACCCTGCAAGGCCCCAGATAAGCAGAGGTGCTGGCAGAGCTGCTAAAATTACTTATGAACTGCTGAAACTCAGCATTTCCCCACCTCCTCAGACCCTGCATAAGTTGCTTTGCTGTCCATCTGACAAAGAGGAATGGCACGTTTCCCTCGCGTGCTGTCTGGGCTGGTGGGAGTTGCTGTGGCAGTGGGGCCGTGCTGTGATGCTGGTGAAGGTCACCACCCTGTATCCACAATTTTCTCTTGGACTGACCCCTGGCTGTGGGGTTTTTTCCCTCCCAGGCACTCCTGTGCTGCTGGCTTGGTTTGCTCTCTCTAGGCTTTTCCAATGCAACACAGGGTGGAAAGGACAGGAGAATACAGGAAGCAGAAAGAAATGGAGACACAGGTGCAATGGAGGTATTGCTGCCAAACAAGGTTGCACCTTCAGTCACAGGATGGCTGCAAAACTTGGTTTGTGTCCTAGCTCCCCTCATCTGACAATCATAGCCCAGTGGCTGACCAAAGGGATAAGTGCAGTTATTACCAGGCAAATTCACACCTGCTTTTGTCTGCCAGGGAAGATTTTGCTTGGCCTGGTCATGGCTCTGGAGATACTGGCCACAATTACACAGTGACCCACAACATCCAGCAGGTAGGGAGTGAAAAAAATCCCCCTCTTTAGCTGCTGTCCTGGGCAATGTGAGGGATTCCTGTTCTAAGCTTCTGTTCTAATCCTCAACCCTCCTCTGAGTCTTTTCAAGGAAGGATGTAGAGCATCCCTTCTCATCTCACAAAGGAATAAACTAGCCTCCAGAAGAGGGGACAACCCCCTCTATTTGAGTCTTCTCTTTGTTTTAGGACAGCTTTCCTCATCTAGCAAGTCAGCACAAGGGTAGGTGCAGTGGTGACACCCACATGGAGCTGTGAGCTCTCCCACCAGCACTGCTCTCAGGGCTATCCCACCCTGCCTCTTCACCACCCTCATCTGGCCCTGGATCACAGCTTGGTGTCACCTTAATCTTCAAATTCCAGCCCAGCAATTGGCAAAAGATGTTACATGGTCCATGAGCTCTGCCAGGTCTAATACAGCATTTCAGCTTAATTGGACTTAGCTTCTTGCCCAGCTGAAGCAGGTGCTGGGCTGCCTTAGGGATAAAAATGAAAAATAATGTAAATAACATGCAGCCAGGTAACCCCCAGCCACCAGCTTTACTGATACTTCAGTGAAATGTGTCAGTGAAATGGACCCAGAAACACACACATCACTTTCAGAGATTGCTGAAAGTTTCAAAGACAGTGAAAAAAACAAATGAAATAGTGCAAAGCCACTACTGCTTTATCCATTCCATGTCCCCCCATCCTCAGCTCAGCGACTCTGAATCCATTTTGGTGTTAATGGGAAAGATGTTGTCTGTGACACCAGAAAGCAAGTGCTCCTAAAAGAGCTTTTGTTCAGAGTCTAATGGGGGTATAGATTTTGCCTCACCTGATGTTTACAGTCCTTCCAAAGCTCAGCAAAGGCAGAGCACCTACCTTGTCATGTTGGGCTGGGTTCTGCTGGCCTTCAGGACCTCAGGACTGCAGGTTTGGCTTCCCTGATTTCACAGACTTTAATGCCAAGCTTTCTTTGGTGGGTAATTTTCACATTTTGAGTTCCCCAGCTGAAAGACAAAAAATAGGCAAATGTTACACATTTCAAGGCACAGAAGAAATCAACAAACTCGCTTAAAAATATTTAAGTAAAATAAACTTCATCTTAATAATTTTTCCTCATAACACACTGTCATCTTACATGTGCAATTTTTCCATAACTCTTTTTTAATGGGTTGCATGAGAGCTTGGATGCAAATTAACTGTGAGGAGATGGGAAAGATCCTCCAGGAATTGCTCTGCATGTGGAAATGAATTTCAGTTTAGCCACTTCAGAGCAATTTTTTGTTTACTTTCCACTGACATGAAATCAGCCACGATTGCATCGCATGCGGGATTGGTTAGCCAGTTACATAATGCTTAATAAATCCAAGAGAAATAATATAAAACACATCACCCAGTCTGGGAAGAGGAACAGTATCTCAGTCAGTGTCACCAACCCAGCCGGACCAGGCATCAGTG